TGAATTAGCCAACATCTATTGTCCTCTAAAAGCATTTTAAACCTCAATTTGTTAATGCTCCGAAGCCTTTAGCGACCCTTTTCCCTGAGTAGAGCAGTTTTGAGACCCTAGGTTCAATCCCCAGTACAAGGAAGGAAGGAAGGAGGGAGGGAGGGAGGGAAGCAAGGAAGGAAGAAAGGAAGCAAGGAAGACAGGGAGGGAGAGAGGAAGGGAGGGAAGGAGGGAAAGACAACAGGAAGGTCATTTTCTGGTACCCCTTGATGTTAGGAGGGCCCCTGAGACTGCTGCCCACAGGATGACAATTGATGCTGGCCACCCTCAGGAGCCCACAAAGAGGTCCACGTTGGAGCAACCTAGGCAGTCTGGAACACAAAAGGTGGAGTCTCCAGCGGCCCCATTCCTGAGGGAGCAGAACCTTCCTCCAGCTGCACCCCCACCAGCTGGGCCTTTGGGAGGTGATGGCATGAAAACAGTGGTGACTTCCACCCAATGAAGACTCAGCCAAAAGTTGCTGTATTTGAAATGGGAAACCAGGTATTGAATCTGCCAGGGCCTTAACTGGGGACTTCGAACTTCCAGAACTGTGAGGAGCAAAGGTGTGTTGTTTATAAGCTATCTGGTCTGGTCTGTGGGATTTTGTTACAGCAGCCTGAATGGATGAGGACGTTTACACGTCACCTTAGACCCTTGAGGCCAGGCAAGTCATCTTTACCAGCTGAATGGTGTGTGTGTATACACACGCACACGCACGCGCACACACACACACACCAATACTAGGACTTGAACTCTGGGCCTGGGTGTTGTCCCTTAGCTTCTCCTACTCTACCACTTCACTTCCAGTTCTTTGCTGTTTTATTGGGGATAAGGGTCTCATGGACTGTCCCAGGTTGGCTTTGAACTTCCGTCTTCAGATCTCAGCCTCCTGAGTACCTAGGATTACAAATGTGAACCATTGGGCAGTCAGTCAGCCTACTTTTTCAAAAAATTTCTTGTAGGTCATGGGCGACCGAACTCTGAGCTTGGACGCTGTCCCTGTGCTCTTCAGCTCAAGACAAGTGCTCTACTGATTGAGCCACAGCACCCCTTCTGGTTTTCTAGTGGTTTACTAGAGATAAGAGTCTCACAGACTTTCCTGCCCAGGCTGGCTTTGAACCTCGATCCTCAGATCTCAGCCTCCTGAGTAGGTAGGATTACAGGCATGAGCCACAGGCGCCAGCTTGCTTTTTCTTTTAAATACCGAATCACTTTGGCAAAACCAGCAACCATTTGTTTACCTAGTTATCCAACATCCATTAATTTTCACCGATCTTGTAGAAGAGTAAGGCCTCACAATCTGGTTGAAGAAACAAGAGGGCTCATTCCTAAATGTTTTTTTAAAGTAAATGCCATGCAGTAAGTTCTAAGTTTGTAGTAGTAAGCAAAGCAGACAAAAGTTGTTGTCTTTAGTGAGCTGACATTACAAGAAGGATAATGCATGAAATTAGTAAGAAGAACATCTAGCTGATGGAAAAGCAAAGGAGAAACGGTAAAGCAGGGAAGAAACTAGGGTTGTTGTGGGTGGAAGCTTTAATTTTGGGCCTTGGGGTAAGGCTTTCTTGAGACTGCAATTTAGATGCCCCACAAAGCACATACTGTCACATGTCTTTGTGGGCCTTGCTTTCTCCTTACCAGGTTTGAGAGCAACCACAAAACTCCACTGCTGGTACTGGGACTTGAACTCAGTGCCTGGGAGCTATCCCTTAGCTTTATTTGCTCCTGTGTAGGCTCTACCACTTGAGCCTCACCTCTCCCAGGTTTTTGTTTGTGCCGATGAGACTTCTCTGCCCAGGCTGGCTTCAAACCTCCTACCTCAGATCTCAGCCTCCTTGGTAGCTAGCTGGGATTACAGGTGTGAACCACTGGCACCACGCATCTCTATACTACTTGAAAGTATGGAGAGAGAAGAAACTTTATTTTTGGTTCTTCCATGGGACAAGAAAAAAGCGATCTACAAATATTGACTGAAAAGATAATCATCAAGCCTTGAGCACCGGCTAAATTCCGGTTTCACCTGGTGTTTACCAGCACCTAATACTTGTAGGAGGCCAGGCTTCGACGTCGCACCGTAAATCCAGCTGTTCCCAGGCAGGGGGCACGGTGGCCTCCCGAGGCCAGGGTGGACAGTGAAGGGACGGTGCGAGTTCACACCCCAAAGTTGGGGGGGGGCGCGGGGAGAAGCGTCTTTAGACTTTAGGACGTGCTGCTGACTTTTCCTCCCACCCCAGCACTACTCCCTGGCTCCGGGTGTCACAGGAAGGAGCAGACAGAGGTCTCTCCGGGGCGATCGCGCCCCCAGTGTCCCCCCCCCCCGCTCTCCACGATCACCGTCCACGCCTCCTTCCACGGCCGCCAGGGGCCACTCAGCCCCGCCTCCGCGCGAAGCCAGGAGGCGGCGACCGAGCAAAGGTCCTGCGGCCGCTCCCTCTCTCCGCGCGTGCCCATCGCCCCGGCCCCGCGGGCTCGTCCGGCTGCCCTGTGCGAGAGCGCGCGG